CATAGTCAACGGTATTGTAATAGCGGTGTATGGTGACAGATGGTAGCTACACCTGTGGCTAAAATAGCATAATGTATAAAGTTGTTGAATCTCTATGTTGTACACCTGAAACTAATGTAACATTGTGTGTCAACTATACTTCAATTTTAAAAATTACTTAAAAAATAAAATTATTAGTAGTCCTATATAGATATAGATACAAATTCTTTGTCTAGTTCACTATAGTTAGACATTTTAGGTTATTACTTGATTTTTGCTACAGTGAATAATAGTATTACTATAATAAGCTATAAACATGGTTGTATTTACTTTGGTTAATAATCCCATTCTTGAGGTTACCAAAACAAATTATTGGATCAAGCACTATGAACAGTTCTGTGATCCCTAACCCATACCAGGTTGCTCTGTAGAAGGACTGGCCAATTTACAGAGGAAGGAGAAATGTGTTGGCACACCTCTTAGTCCCTAATATTGCCAACACTTAAAAAAAAATCATTTGGGGGCGCCTGGGTGGCTCAGTTGGTTAAGCAACTGCCTTCGGCTCAGGTCATGATCCTGGAGTCCCAGGATCGAGTCCCGCATCGGGCTCCCTGCTCGGCAGGGAGTCTGCTTCTCCCTCTGATCCTCCTCCCTCTCATGCTGTCTCTCATTCTCTCTCTCTCAAATAAATAAATAAAATCTTTAAAAAAAAATCATTTCGTTAGTTTTGATAAAACTGTTAAAAACAGATGCAGTGGAACCTCATGGTTGTTTCAGTTTGAATTTTTTCATTATTAGAGAAACTAAAATTTTTCCATATTTTCCTATCTGTATTTTTCTATGTGTAAAATATTTGTTTTGGCCTTTGTCTTTTTTTTATATTAAGAAAATATTTTTTTAAACATGAGGAAACGTGTTTAAATATGTTCAATTTCAATTGACTATTATTTTTTAGTTATCTGTTGACATCTTCATAAAATAAAAATAATTATAATCATCCAGGAAGTTGGAGATGGTGCCAAGTAATACCAACTATCTGACACTATCATATAGAAATTTGATTTAACACCTGTGAATCTATAAATGGATGTGCCACTTATCCAATTACTCAGGGATCCTTAGTTATTTTGTTTTCTTTAAGAGTTCCATGTTCCTTTGAGAATCTGATAAAAATCTATGGGTCATCTCCATGAAAAATGCTCATATGAATAATGTTCATTTTTTATAAGGATTCACAGATTGCCATGTGTTCCCAGATAATGACATCTGTTTTACAGCAATCTTAGACACATCAAAAGACATCAAAAGACACAGATCCAAATTAAAACCATAATGAGATACCACCTCACACCAATCAGAATGGCTAAAATTAATAACTCAGGAAACAACAGATGTTGGCAAGGATGTAGGGAAAGGGGAACTCTCTTACACTGTTGGTGGGAATGCAAACTGGTGCAGCCACTCTGGAAAACAGTATGGAGGTTCCTCAATATGTTAAATATAGAGCTACCCTATGACCCAGCAATTGCACTACTAGGTATTTACCCCAAAGATACAGATGTAGTGAAAAGAAGGGGCACCTGCACTCCAATGTTTCTAGCAGCAATGTCCACAATAGCCAAAATATGGAAAGAGCCCATATGTCCATCAACAGATGAATGGGTAAAGAGGAAGTGGTATATATATACACAATGGAATATTACTCAGTCATCAAAAAGAATGAAATCTTGCCATTTCCAATGACATGGTTGGAACTAGAGGGTATTATGCTAAGTGAAATAAGTCAGCTAGAGAAAGACAAACACCATATGATTTCATTGTGAAATTTAAAAAACAAAACAGATGAACACAGGGGAAGGGAAGGAAAAATAAAATAAGAGGAAAACAGAGAGGAAGGCAAAGCATAAGAGACTCTTAGCTATAGGGAGCAAACTGAGGGTTGCTGGAGTGGAGGTGATGGGGTAACTGGGTGATAGGCATTAAGGAGGGCACTTGACGTAATGAGCACTGGGTGTTGTAAGCAACTGATGAATCACTGGAACTAATAATACAATATATGTTAATGAAATTGAATTTAAAATAAAATTAAAAAAATAAATTTTGAGGTTAATACTTTGCTTATGCACTGTAGACCACAATTGATTCCTGCTCGCAGAATAGAAATTACACAAAACTTCTTAAAAATAAGAATTTTGAACTACTCCTAAGATAAAAAGATAAAAGTTGTAATTATATTAATTCACTTTTTTTTGTTATTCAAAATGTAGAGCCAATCTAAATGTCCATAAAAAGGAGATGATACATCAACTACAGATGGAATATTATATAAAGTTTCAAAACAATGAAGTAAATTTTTATGTATTGATATGGAATGATGCCCAGGATTTATTTTCATTTATTATTAAATAAAAAGAGCAAGTTATAGAACACAGAATGGTATGTACAACATCATCCTATTTATATTAAATACCTACACACACTTCAAATCTATACAGATACCTATCAAATTGACAAGAGTGGTTCCCTTTGGATGGAACTGGATGGAAATCAAGAGAAACTTTTGACTTATTTGCATTGTGTACATTTTTTTTAAAAACAAGAATAAATTACTGTATTACTTGTTTGATTGAAAATAAATTCTAGACAAGAAAAACAGGTGTAAAAATAGCTAATAGTTTGATATTCATATTTGAAACATACTTATTATGAAAAGTTAACATGAGAATACCAGATTGTAATTTTTATTAAAAAAAAAAAGCTGCTGTATATATGGAAAAAAAACTCAGTGCAAAAACCTATTAAAGGATTGAAACTATACAGACAGATTATTAAATTAAAAGTAGAATTCTCTTGGGGTGCCTTGGTGGCTCAGTTGGCTAAACACCTACATTTGGCTCAGGTCATGATCTCGGGGTCTGGGATCAAGCCCCATGTCAGGCTCCCTATTCAACAGGAAGTCTACTTCTCCCTCTCCCTCTGCTCTTCCCCCCCACTTGTGCTCTCCCTCTCAAATAAATAAAATCTTTTTTAAAGAAGTAGAATTCTCTCACATATGTACATATATGCATATATCTACATACATACTTCTTTATACATGTAACTACATTTATACTTATATACATTTTTACATATATATTTATAATACTACATATTTATATATTACTTAAAATGTATACAAATTAATCTACTTTGCAATTGCTTTTTAAAAAACTTAATAATTTATTTTGAAGGATTTTTTATTTTTAATTTCAACACTTAAGGCTATGCTGAATTCTTCAAAGGTTAAGGAGTACCTTTGACTGGATAGGCCGTAACTTATGAATGGTCATCTAGTTTATTTCTAGATTTTTGGTATTTCAAAATGTTTCAATGAATATGACTGTATATATCCATGTATATGTATATAGATCAATACAGATCACATATCATATAATAATATATGTGATGTATATGTATATGTATTTAATTAATATGTAATTACAAATATTTATCATATATACTGATATAGATAGATAAATAGATGATAGATGAATCTGAATTGCTTTTCTAGATAACATACCAGTTATACCTTTAGCAATGAAATATGAAAATTCTTGTTTCCTTATGCTCTTGCCAACTTAATTGTTGTCATTGTCACAAATCAAAATGGTGTCTCATATTGTTTTCCCTTTCTTTTCTATAATTATTAAGACATGTTAAATGATGCTCAGTATCACTCAAAATTAAGGAATGCTTGCTTCAATGATATGGTTCAAAAGAGCTGTGGGCATTTATACCAAAGGGCATAGAAATGAGACTGACCTAGAATAGACTTTAAATAACCAAGTAACGCTCACTTAATCTGTAATATACCATCCAGACATACCGTTCAAACCCTAAAATTTTCACATATGTGCAAAAGTTTATTGCTCTCTATTAAGCATCCATCTCCCCATCATATCACAATGGTTTTCTAATGGCCAAATACAATGAATATTTGTAATACTTCGATCATTTGCCTTCTCTTCAGTTTTTGGCATTATACAATAATCTGTCCTTAAGATTTTTCTCTTCCTTTTGCTTCTAGGACATGTGTTCTAGGTTTTCCCAACTCTAATATCATTCCAAATTTGATTGCAGGATACTCTTCATTTGATCTTAGTGATCCCTTAGAGGTTGTCTTTAGCGTCTCCCCACAGTACACACATTCTCTGACTTACCTCTTTTATTCCCATGCTACCTACATGGTGATAAGTTAGAAATTTTGATCTCAGCTTAGCATAGATATCTTCTTGTGAGGCATTGACCTATATAATCCAATAGAAATCTCTTTCAGAATATTCCACTGGGAATTTAACACATCCCTGATTAGCTTTTCTCTTTTCCTCCACCACCACCCGCGAGGTTTTTCACTTCCTTCTCTATTCTCTACCTATAAACAGCACCACAATCAATTCAATCACTCAGGCCCTAAGCGGGACTGTCACCTCCCACAACCACCTAGTCATTCTTGTATAAATTCTATCTCTAAAATAATATAGAAATATGTTACACTTTGTGTTTCACACCGCCCTAAATAGTCCACTATATGTTTTTTGAATGGATACATAAGTGAATAAATTGGATAGGAAGATAGTAAAGTGCAAGAAATGATGGCACATAGTGCCCTATGTTAATAACTGGAATAGGTTTAATGTTTGTTTTTCAAAGTGCTTTTTCAGAACTTTCAGAGTTTTCTTCATTCATTGTCATGAAAATGGACACCAGTTGACCTTTTCTTGTACGTGCTCGCCTTTCTTCCCCCTCCCTCCCTTCATGCGCATCCTTTTTTCCTTTCTTCTCTTTCTTAAGTCTTGCCTTTCTATCTGGGACCCTCTTAACGCTTCTCTTCTGTGCCTGGCCCAGCACCCTCCCTCGCAGCACGCTGGTCAGCTCCTTTCGCCAGTGCGCGGACTCAACCCCGCCCACGCGGAACCCGAGTCACGAGGCTGCGGGAGGTGAGCGGCTAAGGGGGCGGGGCGGGCCGGGGCTCCGCAGCGCGCGTGGGCGGAGCCGGGAGCACAGGCCACCCGGCTATATCCGCGCCTGCGCGGCGCGGCTACGGGGCCAGTCGGCACGGAGGAGACAAGATGGCGCTGCGGGCAATGCGGGGGATCGTGAACGGGGCCGCACCCGAGCTACCGGTGCCCACCAGTGGGCCTGTGGTGGGATCTCGGGAGCAAGCGCTGGCAGTTAGCCGGAACTACCTTTCCCAGCCTCGCCTCAGTGAGTATCAGACAAAAGACAAGTCCTGTCTTGCTCCTTAGCTCAGTCTCTTGCTTCCATTCACCTGCTTAGCGGGGGAGGGGGCATTTATTTTTCCCTCTCTCATCCCACCTACTCTGACTCATTAGTCTGTCTCTAGAAGGAGATTTGAGTGTATCTGATGTATCTGATGTTTTCGTAAAATAGGTGGGCGGAGGGCAAGAGCATCGACGAGAACTTTTTCCTGGGGTTGGTGGGCTCCTGGCTATAGCCCGCGCTCTCCCAACTTCCCTAGACTGGGGCACACTTGGGCTCTTGCTTCTTGTCTCTAAAGGAAGGCCGCTTCTTGTCACTTCAATCTTAATCATCCCCTAACCTCAATTGGATTTGTAGGGGTCGAGGGAACGCCCCTTCCCATCTCCTCCCACCAGTGTAGATCTTCAGGGCTGGTCAGGAGTTCCTGCCAAAGGAGACTATGTAGTGCCAACGCTGACGTGGTCAGGCCTTTCGTTGATGGTCAGGCCCGCAGCCAGAGGGAGATGTTCTGTGGAGGGGCTGCTTCACAGGAGGACACCTTGGTATCAGAGAAGCTACAGCTGAAAAGTACCCTGCAGGTCATCTACTCTAACCCTCTCATTTTACAGTGGGAAGCTTAAGGTGCTGGGAGGGACAGGACTTGCCAGACTTTAAGCAGTTATTGGCAGAGCAGAAACTAAAATCCCCCCACCTTTTTTTTTTTTAAGTAGGCTCCACGCCCACCGTGGAGCTCAACACGGGGCTTGAACTCACCGAGATCAAGAGTCGCCTGCTCAACCGACTGAGCCAGCAGGCGCCTCTAAAATTCCGTTTAATTCTCGCTGGTCCTTTTTTTTACCATTGTCTCTTCATTTACTGAGGAGTTAAACCTAACACAATTAAGTGCAAGGCTATCCTGGGGAGCCGAGTAGCTTTGGCCATATTATATAGTATTATGTGCAGAATAATATCATATGCATGTTTAAGTGTTGTGATTATAAAAAAAACCCAAAAACCTGCCTTAATAAATGAGGTTTTAAGTGGACTACCCAGTAGTTCCAAAAGAAATGCCTTTTTTGATTACTAAACAATACAGTTGTGTAGCACCAGATCTCTTCACAGCTTCCTTCGGAATTGGGGATGAGCCCTGGAAATAGACTCTTTTTAAAACTTGGGAAAGCTGATGTTTCCCCAGGTGGTGAGACTATGTTTGCGCTGGTTAGTTGCCAGAATGCCTGTTTGTGGGTGGCTTATTGGTTAAAAAGAATTTCAGATGAAGGGTTTCGGTCTAGCCGCCCTCCAGTCTGACTAATCCCATCCTGATCTGTCACTAGGTCATATGACAGCACTGCAGTGTGAGGAAGAAGGAAAACACAGTTGATTCCAGTGGTTTGCTGAGATGTGCTTTTTACAGTGGGAATTATCTGAATTATCTGAGATTGCCTATTGGAGGTTTATATAAGCTGAAGTAAATGTTTCAGGAAATTAACAGATTCTATAGATTTTGACAATTTTATACCTAACAATTTACATTCTCTTTTATGAATTGCATTTGCATGCTTTGCTTTGCTTTGGGTAGACAGACATTATTGGTGCTTCTAGGAAAAGATTATAAGATTATAAGGGTGCAGTAGTCAGTTTCCATACAATTATTCGTTCTATGTCAATTCGAAGAGTATTAACTGAAATAATTGTTTCAAAAGTACTCCATGATTGTTAACCCTTAAGGGAGATGAGTATGCTTTTTCAGTATTCTTTGTGTGCTTAGCCAGTGGCTAAAGAATTCCAGATGAGATTCCTCCTGACAAAGTGGTTGCAATATAATGCTTAACACTGAACCTCAGGAATCCTTTTTGTATCCTCAGTGCCTAGCACAGTGCTTGACACATAGAAGGTATCTTGTAATTGTTTTATAACTTGCGTTTAAACCCCTTGTTCTAATAGTTTAGTAGATTCTTAATGTGGCTGGAATCAGAGTAGGGAGTTGGGACACTTGGTTGAGTTACTTTTCTGTACCCGGGTTATTCTAAAAAGCAGAAATGATACCATACTTAGACTAACAGCTAACTACATTTGAATATCATCCTTTTCTTATATTGCCACATTCTTGATTCTAGCCCCACAGTTTTAATTGCCTCTGAATAAATACTGATTAACCTCTTAATTTTTCTAAAGATTGATTATACCATCTTAGATGGTATGTTATTGTAGTTATTTAATGTGTGCTTTTGAATGAAGGAATGGACTGTTAATATTGGCAGTACTGCTGTACAAATTGGATCCTGTTTTAAAACAACTTCACGAAACTGGGTCTTTTAACAAGAAATAGAAAATGAGATACGTAGCCTTAAAGTTATCTTGAGCACTTTAGTTGAATTTCTAAATTCACAAGGAAAGAAAACTTAATTGTTGTTTAAACTTTGAGCAAAGTTCAGTAATACATACTGAACTTTTTGACACTGAACATTTTGAATTAGATAATTTCCATTGTTCTTGAGACCTTAGATTAGAACTGACCTTAAGTTTCTTATTTCATAAAGCAGAGGTAGCCTCAATGAAAAGTAAACTAAAGGAATCATAGGCCTACTTTTTCTAGAACCTCTCCCTCATTGCCCACCTGTCAGGGTGTGGGTCTCTACTGTTCTTGCACAATAGAAGATGATTGCCGGGGGAGGTTTTTGTTTTGCTAATAAGGTGGAGGCTAGAGTACTGGATCTCTTGTGCAATGACTGTCTACTTTTCTCTCTGAAAATTTCACAATCATTAAGTGGTGTTACTAGTGTTGAACAATCTCATATCCTGCAGGAGGAAGAGAATGTCATCTGACAAAACATGTGCTGCTTAAAACTTTTGTAGATTTTAGTTTTGAAATATTACTCCATAAATATTTATTGCCTGCTTGATAGTTCAGAATCAGAGATGTAACTTTTTGGTTGTAAGATATGTTCACCATGTAATGTAAACATGTGTCAGTGTTGTCAGAAGTTCTGAATATCCCCTGCGGATCTAACTTCTCATTCATTTGGAAATTTTCATAAGAAGAGTGTTCATTATTTTGGTAAATAGCAATGTTTATATAACTTGTGAATGGGTTTTGACTTTTTAGAAGAGCAGCTTAATGTCTTTGGCAGCCTTTCTTGAAACTTCTCTCTGCTTTGGGCTGTTAATGATAATGGTGAGGAAGGCTGGATAAATAACTGTTTAGAGTTAAATGGTGTTTGATATTTTCTTTGCTTGTATTTTTTTAAATAATTTTATTATCATGGAAGAGAGCTATAGTTCCTATACAAACTGTCTTCTAGTGCCTGTTTGTAATCCAAATATTAGGGACTCTGTCATCTATATTTTTAAATTATATTGGAGACTAAGTTCAGAAATATTATAAGGTCATAGAATACCAAACTTAGAATTAGGGGTAGGGGGGAAGCCAAACAAACAAAAAACCAGTTCTAAGTCTGGTTCTCCCCTTGAGTAATACATTTCTCAGAGCCTTAGTTTCTTTAAGTGTCGAGTGGGTATATCAGCCTTGCCTACCTCCCAGCATTTTGTGAGCCTGAAATGAGGTAACCTATCTGAAGACATTCTGTGTAAGTGTGAAGCACTCACCAAATGTAAAGTCTGGTGATATTTTTATTTGGGTTTGGGTTTGGGTTATAACATTTATTAATTCAGTTTGTATATGTCAGTTTAATTTAAAGCAAGCATGTTGCTTAAGCTCTGATTTGTATCCGAAGTAGTCTCCTTGCATTTTTGTGTGTGTGTTTTGCAGTGAGGGGAAACTGCTGAAGTAAGCAGTAGTAATTAGATTCTCCTTTTTTCTGCTTAAAAACTCTTCCAGTGGCTCTACTCCCATTAGAGAAAGATTGTTTAGCAGTAGTACAAAATGTAGACACAAGGGAAATACTGTCCAGTGCATTGAATAGTAAAAATAGCTTACTTTTTTATAGCTAAAGTTGCAGACTCGTGAAATTATTTTGAGTAGTATAGCTGCGTAAGTCTTGCAAATAATTACAAGAATGTACCAGGCCACAAAAAATAACCAGTTCAGTTTTGGAATTTGAGCTGCAGTACAGAGTTAAAAGAACAAGTGACTTTGGAGCCAGACTATGCAAGTTCAGATCCTTGGGCAAGTTACTTGATTTCTGAGTGTCATTTTTCTCTTCTAAAACTTGGAATATTAGTTAACTCATAGATCTTTTATGGAGATTAAGTGAGAATTCCTGACAAGTACTTATTAAATGTATATTGGTAGTGTAGGTATTAATCAGTTAGTTTGAATGGTTATTTATAGGCTTTTTAAAGGCTATATACATTGCAAATTTAGAGACTGTTTTTGATGAAGTAGAATCTTAATAAAAGTCAGCTTGATTCACTGTTTCCCACAAAAACAATGACTAGTGTTTCTTTTTCTTGGTCATGCTTTTGTGACTGGCAAAACTTAATAATTTTAAATGAGCTTGAATTTAAACATGAGATTCTGAGGCATCTTTGTTGTAGAGGTTAAAGTTAAAGGAGGTGAAAATCATGGTGGAAAAAGTAGAGAGAATTTTCAGAACCTGAAGGATTTTGTTGGTTACATTTTATTCAGAACAGTTGCTTCTAAATCTCAAAACTAGATCCTCTCCCCAACCTCACCAGCCATACCCTCCTCCTATCCCTGACTGTTTTAAGTGAAGGTTTTGAGATGTTGTTTCTATATTTTTAAAAACTGGGTTCTAAGAAAACATGTTTCAAATGTAGCTCCTTCTGCATTTCTACGGAGCAATTTTAGAAAGTGATTGAAAAATTGAATGTTTGAACACAGTAAAAATGAGAACAACAAATTTTTTAGGGGTAGGAATTATTTTTAAGAGTGTTAGTTTATTTTCATACAATGGGGAAGATTTTCATAAAAATAAGTGTGACAGCTGAGGTTTTTCTATAAAGGGAACAAATGATTAATTCTTTTACATTACCATCCATTCAGGTAACTTAAGTCTTTAAATTTGTGACTTGCCTTTTATTATCTAAGGTTAAAAAAGTCATTTGGGAGTCTCTTTTGAGATAATTACAATTACAGATATTCAGGCAAATATTTGGTATCAGGTTTAAATGTCCTATGAGTATGAATGACAAGTAAGTGCCCCTGATGGTGCTTTCCTGCTCACAGCATTTGTACCAGGGCGCTTGCTTCCTGTTTTTAAGTTCTTAAGCCCCTTGAGTGGACAGATTAGATATATTAAATGGTTTCCTCATTCTTGGGGGTCTACATTTGTGCCAGAAATGTCTGTCCCAAGACCTCACAAGAAATCAAGCAAGTGAAAAAAATCTCAATTAGTTGACAGTTTCTTACAATGTATTCAATGCCTTGTAGTAAGTTTTCTTCATTTATTTTTTTTCAGCTGTTCTGATTATGGAATTTAGTTAATTCTGACATTAGAATTACAGTCTCCTGAGCGTTCTGTTTTATACCTAATTACCATTACATTTGACATGTTTGTAGGTGTGGTAGGGTTGCAGGATATCTCCTTTCTAAAATGAAGGATTTGAGTAGAGCCTTATAGATTGGTAGTTTATTCCTAGAGAATAATTTGCAGTAGAAAATAGAAGCCTCTAAACTGACAGTAACATTTGACTTTTTTTTTTTAAGGATCTTATTTGACCTCTGGCCTTTCATTCCATTGCCCACTCCCCTCTTCTGAAAGCTCTTTTCCCTGTAGTTTTTATGACATCATTTAATTATGGCTTTTTACCTCACAGATGACAGTTTCTCAGATTTCCTTTGTGAGTCTTGTCACTTGTGCTTAAAGTTCTTGAGGCTTTCCTTTCCCTTATCTACTTTGCTAAGTGCCACCTCTTCTTTAAAACATTTCCTTTTCTCTTCTAGGTAAGAACTACTGCTAGGTTTTTCCTCTGCTCCCATAAACCCTCTGTACACCTCTGTTACAGCCCTTAACTCTTCCCCCTTCTCCATATAAAACTGGGAACTCTTGAAAGGACTCTGCCCCTGTGTGCCTTCTTTGTTTTTGTATTCTGGGTCCTTAAAACAAAGTGACTTATAGTAAGAATGCAAAATGTTAAAAAATAATAATAATAATGCAAAATGTTTTTGGTTGGATGAAGGTGGATAATGAAAAGTTGTACAGGCACAGGTATATTTTATAAATTCAATTAAATTTTGTAACTGTTTGAGTGCTCCATATTATAATAGGTGCCGTAGAGAGAGGAGCTTTTTGGTAATACTACAGAGGTAATTGTAGGTTGTTGTCCTGTTTGACTAAAGGTGATTCTTCTGTTTTTTTCTAGCATACAAGACAGTATCAGGAGTCAATGGTCCACTAGTGATCTTAGATCATGTTAAGGTAATACCACTGTGATCATTTAACCATTTATGTAAAAACATGGCATTAAATCCTGTTCAATACACTTTAAATCTTAAGTTATGATTTTTAACCCACTTTTTGGTCTGAGTGTCAGTGCTATATAGGGGATGAGTTTTTTTTTTTTTTTTTTTTAAGATTTTATTTGACAGAGAGAGACACAGCGAGAGAGGGAACACAAGCAGGGGGAGTGAGAGAGGGAGAAGCAGGCTTCCCATGGAGCAGGGAGCCCGATGTGGGCCTCGATCCCAGGAGGCTGGGATCACGACCTGAGCTGAAGGCAGACGCTTAACGACTGAGCCACTCAGGCGCCCAGGGGACGAGTTTTATTTATTTATTTATTTATTATTTTTTTAAAGATTTTATTTATTTGTTTGACAGAGAGAGACACAGTGAGAGAGGGAACACAAGCAAGGGGACTGGGAGAGGGAGAAGCAGGCCTCCTGCCGAGCAGGAAGCCCGATGCGGGGCTCGATCCCAGAACCCTGGGATCATGACCTGAGCTGAAGGCAGATGCTTAACGACTGAGCCACCCAGGTGCCCCGGGGACGAGTTTTAAATCAAAAGTCAGAAGACTGGATTCCAGTAGTGATCAACTATGGATTCTGTTAGAATAGCTCATCTGCAAAATTAAAAAAAAAAAAAAAAAAAAATTTTTTTTTTTTTTTTGGTCAATCCTACCTTATAGGTTTACTGAGGAAAAACAATAATATATGAGTGTGTTTTATAACCTGTAGGTTATTGTATAGCTATATGGTATCCTATGGTTCTTGTCATAGACTTCCATGTGTTATAATTATTTGTTAATAGTATTTGTCTTTTTTTACTAAATTTTAAGGTCTTTGAGTGAATAAACAAAGTTACTTTTATCTTTGAGGGCCTGACACTGGTATTCAAGTAACAAATAAACAAGAACAGATTATCTCGACAGTGATTAAAACCCTAAACCTATCTCTAAACCCTAAACCTAAAGCAAAGAACAGTTTTTAGTTTGTTGTGAGGATCTTTAGTTATATATTGGTTTTTTAGCCACACCTATACATAAGAATTATAAACACTATTACTGTTATCATAGAAAAAGTGACACAGAATATAGACCATAACTGAATACCCTAGGGAAAGCCTCCTACCTGAGCTCTATGATCAAAATATCTTCAGAGAAAATAATTTATATGGTATGCTCTCTAGAACAGTAATTATATACTGGTTGGTGTTGGGGTGGTTTAGGGGAAAGGCACACAATTACTAGTTTGTTGAGAAAAGTAATGATGGAAATATGTTTGGCATGTGACCCCTCTGGAAGCAGAAAATAAATTGAAAAACATTTCACAAAACAAAGGGCAAAATGCATTGTCTTTTCAGTTTTATATATAAATAAATATATTTATATATATATATAAATATAATAAATATTATATTTTTATGCATGACAAGGTACCTATACAAATTAACCTCAGGATTAAACGTAACAAATTTACCTCCGGCCAGTCTCATACTAGTCTACAGTTTGATTCAAAGTCTCAATATAGTGCACTCAGTTTGTACAAGGTTTAGGCAGGTGCCCATTAAATGTCTTGTGAAAGAGGGGAGCCTACACATTTTTGAGGAAAAGATAGGAAGCTTTCTTTGTTTTTGTTTTTGTTTTTTTTATCCTTTTATTTTTTTCCTATAGTCTTTATTAGATAACATTTTGGGCTCACATTTAAAAACATGAAACTTTTTTGTTAGTAACTGTGTTACTGAAAACAATATTTGTGGGGTTTTTTGTTTTTTTTTTAAGATTTTATTTACTTGAGAGGGAAGAGGGAGAGAGAGCATGAGCAGGGGGAGGGGCAGAGGGAGAGGGACAAGCAGAGCCCAACACAGGGCTCAATTCCAGGACCCTGAGATCATGACCTGAGCTGAAGTCAACATTTAACTGACTGAGTCACCCAGGTGCCCCCAAAATATTCACGTTTCAATTATGTTAAGCACTGAGCTCAGAGCAGAAGATATGATGGGGAACAGTGGGTCCTCCCCCAGTGGAGCATCACGAAGGGAAGAAGCAAATATAATGCAGATAAACACATACCTATTTAGTAAGTGCTATGAAGGCTAAGTTGGGGTGCTATGAGAGTCAGTAAGGAGAAGGACTTTAGAAAACATCTTTGAGGAAGTAACTTTAAGAGTGTTAAAAAAGTTTCATTGAATGTTTGCTTGGGGTAGAGCTCCAGCTGAGGAAAAACTGGTAAATAAATTATATGTAGTTGTAGGAATGGTTTTATAACACCAGATTTAGAGTGTCTTTTTAACTTAAAGGATGAAGGAATAGATGATCTTACACAAATTGTGTCAGAATAGAAGATGGAGACTGCTACTCAATTCTTGTTATGAAATTGGCTTATCTTTTTTTTTTTTTTTAAGATTTTATTTATTTGTCAGAGAGAGAGAGTGAGCACAAGCAGGGCAAGTGGCAGGCAGAGGGAGAAGCAGGCTCCCTGCTGAGCAAGGAGCCTGATGCAGGACTCGATCCCAGGACCCTGGGATCATGACCTGAGCCGAAGGCAGACGCTTAACCGACTGAGCCACCCTGTCGTCCCTGAAATTGGCATATTTTTAATTTCCAAACCAGACAAAGGGTGGTACTAGAAAAAAAGAACGACAGTTATCCTCACTTATAAGCATAGATTCAAAAGCTCTTAATAAAAGCATGCTCATGTATTGGAAATTAGCAAAAATAATTATGTAAAAAATCAGTAGAATTATGACAAAGTAGAATTTATCCCAGTAATACAAAGATGATTTGATGTTAGGAAATATATCAGTAACTTAGCTTTAATTCAGCTCATTCATAGATTAAACTAGAAAGAGCTTATGGTCTTCTCGATAAATAAATAGTATCTGATAAAGTTACTCATTTCTTAAAAAAAAAAGAAAGAAAAGGTCTCTTGTAAATAAAGAGTAGTAGAACAAACTTTTAACCTCTTAAAAGATAGCCACCATAACCTATAGCAAACAGCATACTTAAGAAGAGACTGGTAACATTCTCATTTAAATCAGAAACAAGAGGAGGATGCATAGTTGTTACCACCACTCTCCATCTTTGTACTTAGAACCTAACCAGTGCTGTGGGAAAAAAGAAATAAGGGTATAAAGGTATTAGAAGGGAAAAGGCACAGCTGTCATCATTTCTTGGTGATACAATTAACTAAGACTCAAGTCATTCAGTGGGCAAACTATTAGAAACAATGATGTAACACAGAGTTGCTGGATACAAGAATCAGTCTACAGAAATCAGGAGTATTGTATATGCCAGAATTCATTATTTACAGAAAACCATAAAACTTTGTTGAAAGACATAAAGAAAGACTTAAAATAAATGGAGATTCCATGTTCGTGAATGAAAAGACTCAGAGTGGTAAATACATTGGTTCCACCAGGCAACAGAATCAGTGAGAGATAGAGAATTAAGGTTAAAGATTTGGTGCAGGCAGAGCAATTGTATCAGTGGAGCAAAATTAAGCACCCTGAAACCATTTCTTGTCACACTGGGTATGTGACTTGGTAAATGGTAAAAGCAGCATTACAAGTCAATAGGGGACATGTTGTGCTGCTTGGCAAGTATTATTGGGGGGTAATTGGCTTTCTATACGAAAAAGAATGAAAAGGAGAAAAATAAAACTGCATACCACAAACAAAGCCAGTTGGATTAAAGGCCTAAACCTGAAGAACCTATTAGAAGACAAAATAGAAAACCGTTTGTATGCATTTAAATTAGAAGGTTTTCCTAAACAAGATACAAAAGGCACAAATCATAAAGGAAGATAAGTCATTTTATTACTTAAAAAGTTTTGAAACTTCTGTGTGATAAGATACCATAAACAAAATTAAAAGGCAAGATACAGAGTGGAAGCGCATATTTACAAAAGGGTTAATATCCAGAATCTATAAAGCTCCTACACATTTAAGAAAAAGCAGATCCATTTGAAAAGTGAAGAAGAGATATAAGCCAGTCATAGGTAATTAAGTCTGAATTGTCAGTGAACATGAAAAGCTGTTTAGTATTAGAAATATTAGGAAAATACAAGTTGAAAAGATGTTATTTTTACCTTAACAAAATGGCAAAAATTAAAGTTCAGTAATGTAAGATTGGCATAGTTGTAGGGAAAAGATGATTTTGTATACTGCTAGGGAGATTGTAAATTAATACAGTTCCTTTGCAGAGTAATTTGAAAATTTATAGAATGGGCACAGCCTGTATGTAGCCCATGACTTGGTAACTTGGTAACCTATACCTTAGGGAAAACACTTGGCCCAAGGAGCCGCATGCAAGAATGCTTTTGTAGGGGCGCCTGGGTGGCTCAGTCGTTAAGCGTCTGCCTTTGGCTCAGGTCATGATCCCAGGGTCCTGGGATCGAGCCCCGCATCAGGCTCTCTGCTCGGCGGGAAGCCTGCTTCTCCCTCTCCCACGCCCCCTGCTTGTGTTCCCTCTTTCGCTGTGTTTCTCTCTGTCAAATAAATAAAATCTTTAAAAAAAAAAAAAAGAATGCTTTTGTAGCATGTTTATAATAGTGTAGATTTGGAACAACCTTGAACTCCACTGTTAGAGAACTACTTAAATAAAATGTGTCATTTGATTTTAACTACATTTGTTTTATTTTAACATTAATTCTAAGATGCCCATTGGTTCACATGTTACCATCTCCATAATCAAGAGTTTTACAATCAGTGGTGCACCATATTTTAATTGTGAGATACTTTTCTTTACATTACTCAAAGTAGGGATGTGCTTTTCAATAGATTATGTTGATAAAATGAGGTAAATAGTACCATAACAGATCTGAAACATAAGCTCAAGTGAAGAAAATGAAAAGTTGCAGGATGATATATTTAGTATGTTGCCATTTATGTAAATAAAACACTAAAATCTATTTTTGGAAACCTGCATTTTAAAATAGTAAAAGTGGAAGAGGAATATATATTTGGTTAGGAGAATTTGAGGGGGGCGCATTTATGTTATTATAATAGTGATTATTGTATTTTTAATTGGCATTTTATCCCCCTCCCCACCAAGCATACAGGTGAGTACACACACAGCCCAGAAGCAGACATCAGTTCTGAGTAGTGGGAATGTGGTTATTGTAAGTTTTGTGCCTTTATTTAGTCTCAAAGTTTAAAACCTATACACAGGAGAAAAAATTGCTGTTTTATGGATTTAAGACCTTTCTCTCTACCTTATGCTGTGTTTACCAAATTATATGCGCCAGTCTAAGTGTTGTTTTTTTTTTTTTTTTAAAGATTTTATTTATTTATTTGACAGAGAGACACAGCGAGAGAGGGAACACAAGCAGGGGGAGTGGGAGAGGGAGAAGCAGGCCTCCCGCTGAGCGGAGAGCCCGATGCGGGGCTCGATCCCAGGACCCTGGGATCATGACCTGAGCCGAAGGCAGACGCTTAACGACTGAGCCACCCAGGTGCCCCCAGTCTAAGTGTTTTAAGGACGTAGACTACCTGAGGATGTTACAAACTCTCAGTATATACCTGTGTGGTTTGGGGAGGTGGGGGACGCTTTACGTGCATACGTGCTATGATAGAGATCGAGCGTATAGGGTAATTTGGGGAGCTTTTAAATATCAGTTATTGACCCTTTATTTTTTCTGGTATAGTTTCCCAGATATGCTGAGATTGTCCACTTGACATTACCAGATGGCACGAAGAGAAGTGGGCAAGTTCTAGAAGTTAGTGGTTCTAAAGCAGTGGTTCAGGTAAGCATCACTTTCAAAACCTGGCCAGTTGAACAAAAATAAGGAACACTTCTTGTCTTTTCTAGAGATCATTGAGTAAGTCTCTCTTTAGAGATTGATTACTGGCTGTGGGGAGAAAAAAATTATTTTTTCTTGTTGTCTTGCCAAATGTTAGCCATCTATATACATTCTAGTCCAGTAGCTCCACTGCTCCACTGGTAAATGGCTTTTTTTTTTTTTTTTTTTTTTAACAAAGCAGATAATCACATGGAAGGAGAGAGATGAAGGGCAGAATTTATAACTTATGGGATGAAACCAAAACAAGATCTGAGTCTGTTTCTTTAAATTGTCTCTTATAATACCTAGTTTTTAATGTTACCAATTATGGGAAATGCCAGTTTTCTCAAATAACATGTTCCCTTAAAAAGTAATCTAGAGCAAGGGTCAGCAGGATTTCTGTAAAGGACTAGATAGTAAATTTCTTAGGCTTTGTGGGGCCACCTAAGGCCTCTGATGCATATTCTCCTTCCTTTCTTTTCCTTTTTTTTTTTTCTTAAACCCTTTAAAAATGTAAAAAACATTCTTAGCTTGGTGGAGTTAAACTAGAGTCATGATCCTTGATCTAGGGGTTGGCAGGTTGGTTCATCACCATGGACATTTCTTTGTTCATTATATTGAAAATAGTATTTTATTTTATATGGGCTGAACAGACAGAAATAGTACTTAAGTACTTATGATCTAAATTCCTTTTGCCTTTCTGATTACTTCCCTTTCTCACTAGGTATTTGAAGGGACATCAGGTATAGATGCCAAGAAAACGTCCTGTGAGTTTACTGGGGATATTCTCCGAACACCAGTGTCCGAGGATATGCTTGGTAAATGGATGTTGTTATGCATTTAGGGCAGAGATCTGTTTTCTTTTAAACATTTTTCCATGGAGTCTTTCTTAAAAATTACCTATTTGAGTCATAGTCCACTCTGTACTATCTTGTTACTGTTTTACAGGTCGGGTCTTCAATGGATCAGGAAAACCCATTGACAGAGGTCCTGTTGTACTGGCTGAAGACTTCCTTGACATCATGGGTAGGATGATAAATGGGTTTCTGTGTTTTGAAGAAAATAGCCTCTGTTTTATATCTTTGTCAAGTAGTGATTTTTGTGATATTATAAGTAGATAACCAATGCGGTCCATATTAATTGCTTTATTATTTAATAAACAGAAATCATCTTAAAATTTTATGTAAAATATTTTAAGATATTATAAAATATCACTATGGTATATATGAAATGTAAATAGCTTTGCATGTAAATGGCTTCTAAATTAGGATTTTTCTCTTATTTGCTATACCTTTATTTCATTTTAGGAACTTGTTCTGCTATCATATTTTGTGAGGCTACAAAAGACTAATGGGAAAGCTTCTTAAACAGTTTCAGATTTTAAAAAATAACTGATTTTTTAAGAGAAAAAAGTCTTAATGTCTTAAAATTTTCTCTTTTGGAAATGCATTAGGCCAGCCAATCAATCCTCAGTGTCGAATCTATCCAGAGGAGATGATTCAAACTGGCATTTCGGCCATAGATGGCATGAACAGTATTGCTCGGGGGCAGAAAATTCCAATCTTCTCTGCTGCTGGCTTACCACACAATGAGGTGAGAGCTAGGATCTGTTTGGTGTGAAATTTAACAAGGGAGAATTTCTAAATGCTTCAATGTTAATAAGAAGCCAAATAAAAGGTTTTCAACAATACTCACTTGTACCCAGTACCCATTTCAACAGTACTCAATGTTATTGTTTATATACTCCAACTACATTGAATCTTTATCCAAGCCATGTCTGTCTTCTTGCTTACTCTTACAAATCTTTACAAAAAGTACAAAGTAGCTTTTTTGGGGAAAGTCCTTTAGAACATCATTTCATTTATGTAATTGCAATTCCAAAAAGTTTAGGATAAATGGTATTTTGTTGTAGAAATGTTATTTTAAATTTCAGCTCAGTTCTTTTGTACTTCTTATCAGATTGCAGCTCAAATCTGTCGCCAGGCTGGTTTGGTAAAGAAATCCAAAGATGTAGTGGACTACAGTGAGGAAAATTTTGCAATTGTATTTGCTGCTATGGGCGTAAGTATAATTTTTTTCTATTTTGGTATGACATATAAGATTGTTTATTTTATTAGAACAATGCAGAAAACAACACATACATCATTGGATTTATTTCTAGGCAGAGAAGTTGTAACTTGGCATTTTGGGTAAACTCAGGATTAAAATTCAACATTTGGGGCGCCTGGGTGGCTCAGTCGTTAAGCGTCTGCCTTCGGCTCAGGTCATGATTCCAAGTCCTGGGATCGAGTCCTGCATCGGGCTCCCTGCTCCGCGGGAAGCCCGCTTCTCCCTCTCCCACTCGCCCTGCTTGTATTCCCTCTCTCGCTGTGTCTCTCTCTGTCAAATAAATAAATAAAATCTTTAAAAAAAATAATAATAATAAATAAATAAATAAAATTCAACATTTGACTGCACAGTTTAAGAATAATTTTCTTTATGCCCAAAGCAGGCTGTTTACTCTGTTGGCTTTTGTGAAACTTTGGGGGTGCTTGAAACTTCAAAAGAAGGAACAGTGTAGATCCATAGATTAGCCTTCATCAGAAATACTGAGAATTTTTCTTCTCCCAGCACTGATAAAGTCATTGCTATTTAGGTAAACATGGAAACTGCCCGGTTCTTCAAATCTGACTTTGAAGAAAATGGCTCAATGGACAATGTCTGCCTCTTTTTGAACTTAGCTAATGACCCAACGTAAGTAAATAGAGCTATTTCTTTCTGTTCACTCAGGCTTTAGACCAAAAATGTTACCTAAGACAAGGGAAGTGAAATGTTACAGTGAAGGCAACATGGGGCTAGGAATGGGAGAGCTGTGTTTAATTAAATTCAGCTCTACTTCTTGCTGGTTACTTGGCTTTGGGCAAATCACATAGGCTCTGAAGTTCAGTTTTCTCTTTGAGAAAATACAACAAATAATACTTGTCCTGTACTGTCATTGTGCATTTTAAATGAGATGATACGTATAAATTACCCAGACCATACTCAGTAAGAAATCTAGCCACTCCCTTGTTTCTTCCCTCCCTCCCTTCCTCCCTGTTTTTCTCTCAATTTTGAGAGGTATATAGTCCTGAGAAATTATGGGCCCATTGCTAAAATAATCTAACTTTGTAGCATTAAGTAATTCTTATGAAAAAACATGACTGCTTACTTAACTTATTCTAAAGTAATAATTGCTTTTTTATTTATTAAAATAAATTTATTTACTTAAAACTTAAATAAATTTTCTCTATTTATTTACAACTTTTGAAGGGGCACTATCATTTCCAGAATCATGTTGTTTTGTCTTTGGCCTTTTTATTGGAGTAACAAAGGATTTAATGTTCCATTTCAGTATTGAGCGAATTATCACTCCTCGCTTGGCTCTAACTACAGCCGAATTTCTGGCCTATCAGTGTGAGAAACATGTATTGGTTATCCTAACAGACATGAGTTCTTATGCTGAAGCACTTCGAGAGGTAACTTTATTCTCAAAATGGGTCACTTTTCAGAGTTATTATGTCTGTTTACAAGTGTTCATTTTTCTTTAATCATGTTTTTTTTAAGCTTCACCACTCATGTATTGGTAGTAGAATACCTTAATTAATCGAAAAGGAAAACAAAACTTTTTTTCTGTCAACCTAGTTGAAATGATTATAGGATGAGATTTAAATTATTAGCTTAGTTACCATACTATCACATCTCTCTGCATTGAAGACTTGATTCTAAAAGGCAGCAAATGATGCAAGCTCTTTGTTCAGTTACTCTCCCAGGATGTTCTGTCTTTGTCCAGATTGTCAATTTTTAACCCTTTTCAGAATTTCATTTTTAATAATGTTAGTATTTAAATATATGAAGAGCATACTCTGACAGTACCCTTTTTAGAACTTTTTCTTTCAGAAAACATGGTGTTTATTTAGGAACAGTGTTAAGGTTCTAGCAGGTACCACCCAGAAGTTTGGGGTATTCATTCTAATACAAGTTACTGAAATCTTGAGTAAGTTACTCTTTTAAACATGTAAGAAGGGGAAAAAAGACTTCTGAAGGGCCATGCTATATGAATATCTAGCTTCTTAAAAATCCCTGACATCCCTCACCATATCTCACTCTGCTGCAGTGTTTTTTCAGGGAAGGACTTTTTTTTCCATCCATCACAGACCAGTAGTTTTCTAAAGTAAATTAAAATGAGTTATTAGCATATTTTAAAGAAGATACACAATTTACAAGCCTGGGATTTTTTTTTTCTGGTAGGTTCAACGGACATAAAATTATTCTGTCAGATTGCCATTAGAGTTTTTAAATGCTTATCCTACTTTGTGTTATCTCATTGCCCATTAATAAAAGTTGGTCTGCAGACCACACTTTGAGTAACACTGCTATAGCATACTCTTTTGGAGGTGCCAAAGTAGCACCTAAAAGTTGGGCTTAATGCTTTAAGGTTCTTGGTGATTGTAGATTAATGTTATATATTAATGTTTTATATAATATAATTTACATATTATATATAATATATAATTAATATAATATAACATAATATAAATTATAACTATTCTTACTTTGCACAATGAATGGACTCCTGGCTCTGTGATCTTGGGAAATTATTTAACTGACCCTTGATCCCAACTGTAATTGGGGTTAACAACATTACCTTCTTCATAGGATTGTTGTGAGGATTAAATTAAATATGTAAACTGCATCAAATGATTCCTGGGATGTATTTCCTTCCCTTTTGACCTTTTTACGTAAATATGGCTTACATAAATATGGCAAGATTCATGGCATGAAATAGATCTTGTGAACTAAGAATGTTGTCTTAGTTTTAAAATAACTTCCTTTGATTTATAAAATTGCAAGCAGATTTTTTTTCTAATAAGCTAATTAAAGATTCGCATTATGGTGATATGATTGTAGCAAAAAGCTTTTGGTCCCCAATTGTCAACATTTTTGTTGCAGAATAATCTGAACTTGTGTTGCTAGACTTTTAAATCGTCTTCCAGAGACAGTATTTAAAAGTAAAATTATAAAACTTTGTAAATGGGTATGTTCAAGGAAACGTATTCTAAGCTTTATTTTTCATATTCTGGTATGTGACATTCTTCTCCTTGATTTTACTGTCAGGTTTCAGCAGCCAGGGAAGAGGTTCCTGGTCGACGAGGTTTCCCAGGTTACATGTATACAGATTTAGCCACAATATATGAACGTGCTGGTCGAGTGGAAGGTAGAAATGGCTCCATTACTCAAATCCCTATTCTCACTATGCCTAATGATGGTAAGTTTTTGGTCTTTGGATTATAGCAGACGTAATCATTGTAAGGACTTGATTCTGAGAACATCTTACCTTTTTGAGTTGAAACTCTTTTTTTTTTCCCCAAGTTTTTACTAAAATTCCAGCCAGTTAACATACAGTATAATATTAGTTGCAGGTGTAGAATTTAGTGATTCATCACTTACAGTACCTGGTGCTCATCACAAGTGCATTCCTTAATCCCCATCACCTATTTTACCCATCCCCCCACCCACCTCCCTTCCAGCAACCCTCAGTTTCTTCTCTGTAGTTAAGAGTCTGTTTCTTGGTTTGCCTTTTCCCCTATGTTCATTTGTTTTGGAGTTGAAATTCTTTTGAGGGTTTATCCTTTAAGAGTTTACCTTAACTAGGTGATTTGTATCTAAATGAAATTTTTCATTTGTAAACTGCCCATAATAATCATCCTTTTGTAGAAGAAAAACAATTTTCTTTGTAATTAGAATTTTCAGTTTTCATTTATTAGGTTACTATTGAGTGTCTGCTATTTGTGGAACACTGATCTAGATATAAGGAAATTCTTTTTTTTTTTTTAATTCACTCTCTAATGTAAGTTACTCGATCTTTTGGATTGAGTTGGGTATTTTTTATGTACATGCACCAATAAGTTAAGGTAGCTTAAGTGCCAAATGAAGAGCACAAATAGTAAATGCCGCAGGACTTTCAGGACAGAGTGATCACCAGAGGCTGGTTAAAAATGACTCTGTTTTACTTTGCATGTGAAAGCACACACACAGTACAGTACCTGTTTGAGTGTATGCTTGGGGGTGAAAAAGTCAGTAGTCCTCTTCTATTACTGCTTTTTTGTCCTGATCTCAGTGTTTAAAAAGCTGTTTTACAAGGTATTTTCAGAAATAGTAATAACTCACTGTAATTGAGCACTGTTTTCAGTGCTTTATAAATACTACCTCATTTGATCCTCATAGCAACTTTGAGGTAAATGCTCTACTCTGAGTCACAGGGAGGTAATCTACTGAGGTTAAGAAGTGATAGTTTTAGAACCCAGACAGTCTGAATTCATAATTCACACTGTACTGTCTCTGACATGAAAATGTTTTGTTCCAAGAAAGTACCTATAAAATTACTTTATGTAATTTAACCAACTTAGAAACCTCTTGCTTTGTAGAACTTTCTTGGTGCCGCCTGCATAGTGGTGTTTTGCTTATCTAACATTCTTGTACTTGCTTATGAACTAAGAAGTTCTCTCAGTGTATGTTAAATTGGCAAACCTCTGCCAGGGAACTTTGTGTTTAAAATGGAGTTTTATTGGGCGCCTGGGTGGCTCAGTTGGTTAAGCGACTGCCTTTGGCTCAGGTCACGATCCTGGAATCCCAGGATCGAGTCCCGCATCGGGCTCCCTGCTCAGCAGGGAGTCTGCTTCTCCCTCTGACCCTCCCCCCGTCTCATGCTCTCTCTCTCTATCTCATTCTCTCTCTCAAATAAATAAAATCTTTAAAAAAATAAAATAAAATAAAATGGAGTTTTATTTATATTTTGGGGGGAAATAACTAGGAGAAATGGTAATTTTTCTGAATGCAGCTAATTTACCTTATGTGCCAATACATGTCTAACTGTGCTGCAACTCAGTAAATGAAACCATCCAATATGATAATCGCCAGCTACATTTGGCTATTTAAGTTCTAAAGTTCATTAAAATTAGATAAAATTTGAAATAAAGTTTTCAGTTACAATAGCCACATTTCAGATTCTCAATAGCCACATTTGGCTGGTGGGCTACCATATTGGACAGCACAGATACAGAACTTTTCTGTTATCACAAAAAATTACTTTAAAGAGCACTGTCTTATATAATTCTATAGGTAATGCACACTGACTTCCTGTGATTTGTTTATATGATATGGACACTTTAACTAATGTCAGATGTCTTCCTCTGGTAGATATCACTCACCCCATCCCTGACTTGACTGGATATATTACAGAGGGGCAGATCTACGTGGACAGACAGCTGCACAATAGACAGGTATTTGACATTTAAGCAATGGTGTAAAGCTTACACATCTACTCTTCAGTTACTCTTTAGTGATTAGTGACTTTGACTTTGCTCTTAGGAATTATTAGAAAATATCAGCTTGTTTTTCATATGGTTATATAATTGTCATCTCTGTATATCAAGATCCTGTTGTGAGTAAGAGTGCCAGTATTTAAGTTTCCACTTTTCTTTATTGTGCCTTAAAATGGAGTCAGTGGTCTCAAAGAATTTTTTGGGATATTCTATTCCATAATAATATCTACCAATCTCATTAGTAATACAAAAATATGTTTTTTCTATTTTTTTTGCTGATGTATAATTGACATATTAGCTTTAGGTGTACAAAGTAATGATTTTATACTGATACATATTGCAGAATGATCACTGTAAGTCCAGTTAACATCCATCAATACACATAATTACAAAATACTTTTTCCTTATGATGAGAACTTTTAAATCCACTCACCTAGCCACTTTCAAATATGCAATACAGTATTATACATACTATAGTCACCATGCTCTGGATTATATCTTTATGACTTAATTCATTTTGTAACTGGAGGTTTGTACATTTTGACCCCCTTCACCCATTTTGCCCAGCCCCCATCTCAGGCAGCCACCTGTCTACTCTATCCATAAACTCACGGGTTTTTAGTATTTTAGGTTCCACATAGAAGTGAGATCATAATAGTATTTATCTTTTTCTATGTAACTTAATGTCACTTAGGATAATCCCCTCAAGGCGCACCCATGTCGGTAAATGACAAGATACCTTTTTTTTTAAATGACTGAATAACCAAAAAAAGATGGTTCTGTAACAGATGCCGGCTTCTAATATCAGCTTTTAGGAGGAAATACTTACTTACTGTTAATCTTTTTACTTGGTTTGTGATATATGAGCCAGAGCTCAGAGGCTGTTTAGATTTGATACTCCAGGCAAATGTTGAAAATCTAGTTTTTCAGTATCATCTTGTACTGTTTTTTGCAGACTTCACTTTCTGAGTTTGATACCCAAAAGAAATACTATGCCATGAAGTCTCACTTCATTTTCTAACTAGGAGAAGATATTAGAACTCCTCTAGGAAATAAATAGAAGCTTTATGTAATTTAAGGGATAATAATGAGTTTCAAAATGCTTCTTTACTACTGGTAAATCTTGAATTTTGTACTTAAATGTATTTTTTCTCTCATGTTCTATGTAAGATTTACCCGCCTATTAATGTGCTGCCCTCATTATCACGGTTAATGAAGTCTGCTATTGGAGAAGGTATGACCAGAAAGGATCATGCCGATGTATCTAACCAGCTGGTATGTATATCCTCTCAAGGATGGTGTTTAAAGAAATGACCACCTTTCTTGGTCCATTCTTTTTGCTGTCTTACACCTCTTATCTTTCTCCCATATCATTGTACTTATCCCCCATCCAAGTAGAATTTTAGTATAGGTTACATGTGGAAGATACAGTCATTCATTAGAACCAAACCCAGTCTTCTTTTTTTAATAAGGATAGATGCTGATAAACAAGATTAAAAATCATTTGCTTGAAACCCACATCTAATGCTATACAAGATAGTTTCTAAATTAAAAACAAACAAGCCATAAGGCCATTTTAGGTTTTTATTAGTAACCATAATAATAATTACAGAATATTCCTAAAAAGATACTTGAATTTCTTACTTAAGAAATTAAGCAATCATCAGAACACTCAGAGATACAGCTTTATATATTCTATGAAATCCTTGATTTCCGTAGCTTTTTTGTTTTTAGATTTTATTTACTTATTTGACAGAGAGAGCCAGAGAGCACGAGCGGCAGGGTGGGGCAGAGGGAGAGGGAGAAGCAGGCTCCCCACTGAGCAGGGAGCCCAATGCGGGGCTTGATCCCAGGATCTCGGGATCACGACCTTAGCCAAAGGCATACTCTTAACCAACTGAGCCACCCAGATGCCCCATAATCCTTAGTTTCTGTAGTTGTATGAGATTGTACACCAAGCACAAATAAAGAAGAGTACCTTTGACCTTAAAGTAAAAAAGGTAAATCTACTCCTACTGCAAATATTTTTCTTGAACTTCGAGATGGATTTGTCTGTGGTATGAGTTCTGACTTCCAAATGCTCTATAAAATGCAAGCTCATTAACATATTGAGGAAGTATATTTTTTAGTGTTAGTAGTGCCTGTGGACTGCATGCCTGAAGTCTCCTTTCTCAATGAGACTACTTTATAATAAAATCTGATAATTTCATAGGAACTTCATGTGAATTTTGTTTGTAAATAATGTGAAATTCCTTCTGTGGTCTCTTACGAAGATAGATACAGAAATACTCTTAATTTATAGCCCAGATTACTTTTAACATTTATAAAATCTTACCTGTGTTCATATAAATTTTTTTTTTCTCCTTAGTATGCATGTTATGCTATTGGTAAGGATGTACAAGCCATGAAAGCCGTTGTTGGAGAAGAAGCCCTAACCTCAGATGATCTTCTTTACTTGGAATTTCTGCAGAAGTTTGAGAGGAACTTCATTGCTCAGGGTAAGATGACTGTTTTCTTACAAACATAATTTTGAAGACTGCTTTCCCAATCTGAGAGAATTTACATTGATCTGTACATGATTTTCCTTCTGATTAGAGAAGAGGTTCTTCCAGCTGCCTGTCATGTCTTTTTGCCATTAGCCCTCTGGCTCCTTCCTCTCTGCCTTCAAGTCCGTTATCCATTTAGCTCCCATCTGAGTTTTTCCCTTCCTTACACCTGGCCTTCTGCTCTGCCGCCTCCATTGCCGGTTCTCCCCCCTCCTCACCTCTCTGCAATGATCTTCTCATGCTTTGGGAGTTTGGGGCTTTTGTGATTCACTTAATTTCATCTCCTTTTCTGATTTTGTATCTTCCTGCTCCTTCATTGTTTATGTTCTTAAAGGCCTAGCTCCCTGTTCTTTCTGTGCTTCCCCTTCCTCCCCCAGCTTTGACTTTGACTAAATTGCTGTGTATGACCCTTATCCTTTTTCTGAAGCTCTAAATCCCACATTAACAACTAGGATACTTTTGTTTATGCTGCCATCTCCTCAGGCTCAGCATGGTCAGAACCCGAAGTTTTTTTTTTAAGCTGACCACCTGCCTAGCAATTCCCTTTTCAGTATGTCTACCTCTTGCATGAGCATTGTCTTACTTAGCCCAAGCTCAGTAATTGAGCATTATTTATAACTTTATTCATTTATTCTCCAGTGACCAAATATTTACCAATTTCTATTGTTCTTATTTAGAATATCCTATTCTGGTTTCATTTCTATTACAGTACCTTGGTCCAGTGTTTCTCAAATTTTAATATGTTTTTGAATCAACAGGAGATCTTGTTAAATTGTAGGTTCTGATTCGGTAGAACTGGATGGGGCCAGAGATTCTTCATCTGGACAGGTTCTTGGATGATGTGGAAAACTACTGATCTCTGACCAACTTTGAGTCTTAAGGCCTAGTCCAAACCCTTGTCCCATCATCTTGGTCATTAGTGCCAGCTTTTTCACCACTCTTTCCGACTCCCTATATCTCTCTGATATTTGCCAGAATAAATTTATTCCTAATTGTATTGATTGTCCCTCTAGTAAAAAGGCTGTAACGGTTTTCATTACATAGCCCATGTTCAATTTTCGAGCTGTTTTGGTTGGTCTCTCCCTTGCCACTATTTCTGACCTCAGTGGTACTCAACACAGATATGTTAACTTTGGAATAATGCATCACGCACACTACACTCTTCTATTTATCTGATGCATTTCTTACTAACACCAAACCCCCCAAAATAATGTATAATTCTTTTTAATGCAGAACCATAATACCTTAAAAAGATAAAAAATGAAGTTCTTCTGGTGGAGAATATAACCCAGAACTCCAGCCACTCTGATTCCTTAGTTAAGAAATCAAATTTTATTTGCAGGATAAGAATGACTCTACTAGTAAAAATAATTAGTAACAACTTTGGAAAACAACTGACCTATTCAAGGTGTTCAGTTGACATTTAAGGTTTTCTAAGTGTCTATACTACCCTCCCTCACATTCATCCTCTGTTGCTGGAAAACCGCATTTCTCAGTAATCCATAGACAAAACACTGGGTCTAGTTTCCATTGCTCCAGGTATTTAGATCCTACCCAGTTGTCCACAGAGTTGTCCCACACATGCTAGATTGCCCAGTGCCTCTAGCCTGCAGGCCTCTCCCTTTTTTCTGATTCCTGATGGTATTTACTCTCTGTACCCTCACTTACACATTCGGTTGCATCCAGTGTTAGGAGACCTAACTGCTTTGTGTGTGTCTCTCTCTCTTTTTTTTGGTAATACTTGATGCTCACAGTAGTCATATAGTGAAATAAATAATAACACTGAAAAGTTGGAAGTAGTTTGCCTTTACTCATTGGACTTCAATTTTTTCTAAGGTCCTTATGAAAACCGCACTGTCTATGAGACTTTGGACATTGGCTGGCAACTGCTCCGAATCTTCCCCAAAGAAATGCTGAAGAGGATCCCTCAGAGCACCCTAAGTGAATTTTACCCTCGAGACTCTGCAAAGCATTAGCTGCTACTTCATCGCTGGCTCGATACACTTGTGAAATACTGGTTCTGTTTTCTTTATTCCTTTTGCACTCCCCCATTCCCCCATCTTTGTGTTGAAGTTTACCTTGTTACCCTGTAATTAAAAACAAAGACTAGGTAACATTGTGCCAGTGTTGCAATGTTTTAAACTTCTAACAGACTTTAAAATATCCCCTGTTGAGAAAACCTGGATCATCAGTGCTCTTTTTACAGTAGCTGCAGGGATGGAGGTGAAGTTTTCCTACAGATGTATGTGTTTGTACATAGTGGTGTAGTTAGTTGCCTAATAATGTCTTCATTATATGGGTCTCCTCGACCTTCCCTCTCAGCCCCCTCAAGAGTATCACTGTCTGAAGTTACAATGCTTTGAGCTCCAGTTTGGAGCCAGGATCAAGTCTAAAAGAAGCCTCCTCTCTGAAGAGCCGGGGGCCTCTTCGCTGCACATTTGTTTTTGGATTGTTGCTGTGCCCATGGGTTTGTGCTGCTGCTTCACGCAGCTGGTTCTTCCTGTCCACCTGCTCTGTCCTGTAATGACTAGATTGGAAAAGGAGTTTTCCTTTTTCTCTTTAGTCCTTACGAGTCGGGACTCCTGTGTCTTACTGTCCCCCCCGCCCGGGTAACACAGAGTCCTGTAGCTTTCGCACAGCTGGTTTTGATTTGACAGTAGTGAGATGCCTTGTCTTGATGATCCTTACTGGGTTTCCCTGCATCCCTGCAGAGGAATCATAATTAAAATAACTAATAGAACTGTTGCTTGGAAGGGGGGGTATGATAAAAGAGGAGAGAAAAACCCATATCCATTCTACATTCTGACATGCTAACAGTGGTTTCAGCTTCTGAAGTGTTGACCAGATGCTGAGGGCAAGGTGGGGAGGAGAAAGCTCTTGTGTGTATGGGTATTTTAAACTCTGTTAGAGAGCAGCCTTTGGAAGATCCCCTATTTGATCCCGTTTTCTGACCCCTCTCTGCCTTTTCAGGGTAATCTTGTGGCACAAGTGATAGCATTTAAAAGCTTTCGGCTTTTAATTCTCGCTCCTTCTTGCTGTGAGTCCTGCACTGTCTTCTGTGCACTTCTGCCACGTCTACTGTTCGGTCTCTTTGTGTTCTTTGTTACTTGGTGCAATAGCAACTTCTCTGTGCATTCCATCTTTCCAGTTGTGTAAAGTAGGGGGGGTGGGGGGGAGTCAGCATGATTATATTTTAATGTAGAAAATGTGACATCTGGATATAAAATGAAAATAAATGTTAAATTAAATGGAAGTTACCTAAAGTGACTCTGTATCTTCTAATCAGAAAAGCAATATCAACAAATGAATATATAATATATAATAACACACTTCTTTGATTTACAAGTTTTGAACATCATACCCAGTGTTGTGAACCAGCCCCCTGAGTTACAGGGACATGGCCCAATTTTTATATCCTTCTGTCTTCAGGTTGCCCTTTCTACCCCTTCGAGCGCTTTCCACAGTAATAGATCTTCCAACATACTGTATTTTTTCCAAGCTTGAGAGTTACTACGGGTGTTGTATAGCATTCTTTGTTTCAAACCTATCTGCAATGAATGATAGAGGATGATAAATAGAAAAAGAAGTACATACTGAAGCAAGCCGAAACTTGCTTCAAATAAAATCTTAGATGTCCAGGATATAAAGAAAACATGCTGGGTTAAGGACGAGGGTGTGGCATCACGGAGAACTTCCAGTTCTCTCCCCTCTTCAATTCAAGGCAACTTTTTGGAGATGTAGAGCAAGAGGCTCAAACAAGAACTAGGTAGACCTGTGTTCTAGTTCTGGTTCTGCCAGTAACTGTAGGACCCTGTTTAGTCTTTTAACAAATTTGAGTCTGTTCGCCTAGATTCCTTTTAAGGTTATTAGAAGTACCAGAGATTTTGTGTACTAGACAGTGTCTAGTACTAGTATTCCTTTTCTAACTAGACAGTGCCCGATCTATGGTAGGCACTCGTAATAGGCTGCTTTTATTAATAATAAGGCAGATTTGACTTATTATTCTTATATAATACTTAGGAATAGTTGACTTAGTAGTGCTCTTGTTAGTTAATTTTTAGTGGAAACATTTTCTTAATATACCTTTTTATACCAGCGATAAGACCTAATTAAAGGACCAGTTAAAATGAGGCTTTAACATGGATTCTCACTGTGATTACATCATTTTTTAAAAAAGGAAATATTTCAGTCAGCTTAAAATACATGGGAAGAGAAAAAGTATCTTCAAAGGTCAGGCTAACTGATTGACTCATTAAAGATTTATTGCTTGCAATTGACTGTCACTTCAGTTTTTGAGATTTCATGTAAGTGAAAAAATGTTTTCAGACTAATGTAATAAATACCTCACTGAGCTGTTTTATTTTCAGATGTCTGAGGTCAACAAAGCATTGTGTGCTTTTAAGATTTTCTAATTGTTGACATTAGTAAGGGAAAGTTAGCTTAATCTATAAACAACAGAAAATAGTTCTCCAGACTAAACTAAGTATACCATTTGTAGACTACGAGAAAAACTTAGCAAGGCAATACTTGAGGGAAAGTGATCTTTTGGGGAAAACTTAAGTGCAAAGAAATGGGTTTTAAAAGTGAAAGTTATGTGCCTTCCTCAGCTACCAACTGTAGTTTTATTCCGAACCCTTTTACCAGGTAAACCTGGTTACCAGGTGAACACCTGCCTAGTGCTTAAGTGGACTGTGTAGTGTCCTTAGCTGCCGCCTCCTCTATATAAAGCCCTGCAGTGGCAAGAGTGAGCAGGTGACTTGATGTTTAGAAATAGTGAGAAATCTCTTTCAGTGACTTAACAGTCCCAGAGCTTTGTATCCTCAGCAAGAGTGGCAAAACCTGCCTGAAAAACTTAATAAATGTTTTCAGACACCTGGACAACCTGTCTGTCCCTGATCAGTCTGCCGCAGTTCCTGAGGAAGGGAAAAGAATTTGAGTCTCTGCCCGTGGCTATATCTGAGGTTGAAGACACAAATGAGCAACACCTCCAGTTGTCATTAGAAGCCTGGGGCTCCGCTAGTCTAGAACAGAACATACGGCCATTTGCTGTGATGAGTGGCTGTAAGTAGTGCACATATATTTGACAGACCACTTTCCCAAAGGATTACATCTCCAAACTCCAGAGCATTTTATAAATGTAACAGATTTGTGACTTGTTCAAGTTCAAATAAGGAATGGCAGAACATGAGCTAGAACCTGGGCCTTTCAAGTTAGTCTAGTGCTCTTTCCATAGTGTGATGTTAACAAAGTTCACTTCATAAACTGAAATGACATCCACAGACTACTCACTGGAAACCAGGATTTTATATTGTGACTAGAGTTCCAGTATTCTATGGGACTTAATGGTGTGGTGAATGTGAACCAAAGACTCTGAGGGGCTGGGGTCCGAATTTCAGGGCTCACACCTTTAAAAAGATAAGCTTTTTTGAGGGGGAGGTAAGACAGGGCTGGCTGTATGTGCTGACCATAACCTCAAGAGCGGCTTGATTACTTTTAAGCAGTTGTATTCTTCACTTCCACAAGAGGGCAGCACCTCTTAACGGCCCTGCCCTGGCTCAACGGTCCCCTCCAGAGATGGGGACACTTTTCAGCTGCAGCAGCAGGACAATCAATGATTCATTGAATCACATGGTGTTTTGGGGGGCTACACATTAGCCTGGGGGCTATAAGGCACCATACTGTCATAAAAATAAACCAAAATCGGTGCCAAGAGCCCTGGACTGGACTCAGAAGTTGTGGGTTAGAAGGATTTCAGAGGTCCAACTCTGCTGATAATTGAAGGCCCTTTTAAACATCGGAAACATGGAAATCTGGTTCTGTTGAACATGGAACTGTCTCAGGAGGCATTCTACTTCAGGAATTAACCTGATGGTTGGGGTGTTCCCAAGTCAAGGAAAATGCTCTATAACTTTATCTTTTTTTTTTTTTTTTTTTAAACCTTGGCCTGTCCCCCAGGGCTCTAATGTGTGACAGCCCTACACTGCTTTGAAGATAGTTGCCACTTTTAAGTCTTCTTCAGATTTTCCTAGTTTACCCCTTACTTTACAGGTAATGGAATTTTTTACCTCTTCAGTAACTGAATAGGATTAGTACCCATATCTAACCTTCTGGAATAGGAATCTTTGTACTTCTGTTATTAGCACAAAGGAGAAGTTCTCAAAAACATAGAGGCTCAGCCCATGAGAATGAAGTACTCTCCCAAGCATATAGCTGGAACTGAAGTCATGGAAACACTGTACGTGGTCTTTGGGACCAACTCCCATTGAGGCTAGGACTCTGATTCAAGCTTAGGTTACTGGAAATCTCAATATGCTCTGAAGTAAGACATTCTGTTCTCTGGTTCTATTGTACTTTCCCCTAGGATCTGCTTATTCAGTAGCTCTCAGGTGGAACTCAAGCACTGGGGAAGTTTCATTAATGGTTTACCTAATAGACACTCATTGTACAGATAAGACTCAAAAAGTACAGATGAGTACAAAGAAATAATCCCATAATCCTACCACTCAGAGAAACTTAACACTTTGTCATAGAGAATCCCTTAACAATCATGGCTTTGCCAACTGTGGCTTTGCCCACTTCATCTTGTTAAGCCAAAACCCATGGCAATTTTGGCTTCTTTCTCCCACAGACTCTATCAGATTATGGGAATCACGTCATCAAGAGGTGTGGTTAAGCTACAGACTCTTCATAACATACACTTACAAAACAGCTATATGTTTTAATCTGAGTGGTATCTGAGTTAAAACAACACAGCTCATGTAACAAACATAATTTCAGATAAAGTTCTTTTGTTCAGACTTTTTCCACTACTGTGAAGGGAATTACGGTTCCCTGGCAGTACTTAAAAGCCCCTTCGCATCGGTCCACTACTTCTGTCTCCTTCAGCTGCTTTGACCAAGGTTGCAGGCAGGTGTGGGGAAACTAGTTTCCATTATGCTGCTTTCTTTTTTTTTTTTTAATTTTTTTTTTAAAGATTTTATTTATTTATTTGAGAGAGAATGAGATAGAGAGCATGAGAGGGGGGAGGGTCAGAGGGAGAAGCAGACTCCCTGCTGAGCAGGGAGCCCGATGCGGGACTCGATCCTGGGACTCCAGGATCATGACCTGAGCCGAAGGCAGTCGCTTAACCAACTGAGCCACCCAGGCGCCCCGTTATGCTGCTTTCTATGCTTCTCTTCCCCTTTCCCATCCTGAGACCTCAGGAACTGGAGGGGTCAGGCTGAACCCTGTGGGAGGGCGAGGAAGGAGAACAGGCTGAGGTGTGAGCAAAGCTAGAAGCCCCCACCCTACCTGAAGGCAGAGGCAGGGTAAGGGCTGAAAGGTTTGTATGCTCATCTCTGGGCCATCTAGAGAGTAACTTGGCC